AATTAAATCTCACAATCTCTCCTTTTGCCTTACGTCACCCTTTCATTCAAATAGAACTTCAACCAATTCAAACCAACAAACCAATGACATGTGCGCATACTTAAGTCGGGCATAAACATAGGCCATTTGAAAACAAGAAGAGCTAACTTAAAGGGTTTTAAATGAAAGAACAAAGATTAAGCTCAACTCGGTTACACCTAAAGGTTAATGATGGTAAATGTCTAAATGAGGTGGAATATGTGTATGGTAGAGGTGTAACTATTGCCTTTACCATTCTAAAATCTCAAGCATGAAGTGGGTGTGATGACTCTTATTTTGTATCATATTTTATCTCATTCTTACCCCTTATTTGTGTTCATTTCAAGGTGTTTGTTTAGGTTTTAGAACTAAAAATCATATTTTGTGCTCAGAATTATCCAAATGCACTTAGGATGAAAGAAAAATGGAAAAGGAAGCAAAAGTTGATCATTTTGGAGCAAAAATGCACGGAAAAGGAACATGAAAGCAAACCCGGAGGAAAGCGCGCAAAGGAGCGAATCTAGGAAAGACGTGGCGTAAAGACATAGTCACGCACGGGCGATGGCACACCCGTGCACCACCCGTGTATAATGCACATGCATGGATTGTCCTCCACACGGACACATCATGCTCATGCTATGGTGGTGCAACCGTATAGGTAGTGGCACGCCTGTGCGGTGCACGTGCGCCGAAACCTAGGAGAAATTCTATAAATAATATTTTTTCTCCTTTTGCATAGTGGGAGCCACCAAGGATACAATAGCAATAGGAAAAATTACAGTTTAGGGTATTTTCTATCTTTCTTTGTTATTTCATTGTTATTGTATTGTTACCTTTGAGTATTTTGGATTGTTTAGCTTAGATTACCTTGTTATTGTGTTTATCGACCTCTCGATGACGCGCGAAGATATTACCGAGGCTGCACTGAGCGTTATATGTGGTTCGACCGTCTGGGATGCGGGACATGTCTTGAAGTTTGGAAAGAGTTAAGAGAGGCTCAGCTCGTAGGTTTCAATATGCTCGCTGTTTAGAAATTTGTGCTTCCCACTAGAAAGAGTGGGGCACGTATATGAGGGGATGGACTGTCGGGCACTCGGGAGGCAGTACGGCTAGGGGTAGGAAAAAGATGGCTAGGGGATACCCGGATTGATGGGCCGACGTCTTCCCGCGGTGAAGTCTCGAGAATCGCTGGCCTCTCGGTTACCTGGTTGGCAGTGGCGCTTGAGGATGCGTCTTGAACCTCTGTGAAGTGCTCGACCTCTTCAATGATGGTGTCATAGGATGACACCATTAAAAAGCTTACCTCGACCATTGCATCATAGTCCCCGATCGACACATTTTGGCTATCTGAGTCCGACATTATCCCTCTAAGACGGAAGGACGCTTATAAAGGAGTCTAACCCAGACTAAAGTTGAGAATATAACAAGAAAGGATAAAAATTGAGAAAGAAGACTTACTGAATGATAGCGGACAAAAGTTTTTGATCTCTTAAAACTGTGCTCGAAATGCATCTGATGCTCGACTTGAATATGTAGCTCGGGAGGCTCTCGAATTCACGCGAAGCGAAGTGTAAATTTTGGCCCATCATCAAACCCTATTTACAGATGAAAGAGGCGGGAAGATTGAAAATTTGAAACGGATCCTCAGATGAGCATCCCCCGCGTAACACGTGGAAAACGAGTAGAGATGAGTGGTGACCCCATGGTATACCATAGGCTAGTGCCACACGTGATCTCGGTCTATATAAAGACCTTAAGGACTCAAATTATAATCAGATTTTATAGCCCGAGCCCCTCAGAACGTTGCCCACCCTCGGGGCACGGGCTGCGTATTGAGTTCCAAACCAGATCTGACTCCATGCATAGAGATGGTCGTTTTCCGACCACGTCCGAACCAACCAAAGGTATCGCCTGACCCGACATGAAACAAAGCTTTTTCCTAGCTTAATGAATCTCTGTTCAGAGACCTTTAGGTTCGGTTATGACCTGGATGCTCGGCTAGGGCCACGAGTTTATGAGAAAAACCCTTAAAGATGAATATAGATAATTGCATTCGAACCGACCCTGGTAGCTATTGGTCATTTAGATATTTTGTTACACGTGGACGCCATTCCTTAGCCTCCGAGATCGATCGAGTGCATGAAGGACACGTGTCATGCATACCGACTCCCCATCATGTGTCTCCTTTGTGTCCCTATAAATAGCGCATTTGATGCTTGTAATAGGGACTTTTTTCTGAATCTCTCTCTAGAGTACTGGCATGCTCGGGAACCTCCGATCCTTGGCCTAACTACCCAAGCTACTATACCTTCACTATTCTATAATTCGTATTCCAATACGTATACCCAAGAGTATTAACACTATCATATCCTTCACAAGAAAATATGATGAAAAAATTCAACAAAAAATTGTTTAGTCTTGCACAACTTTGCAATAGAGATTAAATTTTTACGCAATTTAGGAACACACAAGACATTTGTTAATGACAAATTTTGGTGTACTATGGGAAGAGATATGGACCTAGTATGTGTGATTTGGTGGCTCTTACCATCACCCAAGCAAAACTCGTCTGAGCCACCGTAGTTAGTATAAGACAGTAAATCAGAAAGACTGGATGTTGTATGATGCGAGGAACCGCTGTCAAATAGCCGTTGTGAATGTGTGGGGGTTGAAGTCATGGTGGTGTTAACCACAAGTGCTTGAGATAAGTTTGAATTTTGACAATTACTAGGTGTAACATTATTATCCTTTAAAAACCTTGCTAACTTGCAGCAATACCGGGTTTCATGTCCTGGAATGTCACCAAATTTACATATGATTCATGTTTGATGACTTGGAGTTTTCCAAGGTTGACAAGAGTTGTTCCCATTAAAACCTCCACGAGGACAACGAAAACTTGACATATTGCCACGTCTTGGACTTGCACCTGTTGATCATCCAGATTGTGGAGTTCGTGGTTGTTGATGTTGAGTGACATTAGCTGTTGCTATAAGAGATTGCTGCACTTTTTCATTCTCTTTCAACAACCGTTCATGGTTAGTGAGGACATCGAGTAGTTCGGAGTAAACTCATTTCCTAATTGTGTGGGGCATGGACAATAAGATCTTCCTCACTGATGGGACTCTAAACCAATGCTAAGTCATCAGCAACTGCACGCATTTCCTGTAGGAACTCTGTAACAGTCTTGGTCCCTTTGTATTCTTTGCTAATTTGGCTTTGAGGGATATGATTCGTGATCTCTATGTGATGGAGAAAATTGATCCAGGGTACGACCCAGGGTATGTATTTATACGGATCAATAATCTCCCTAGAAAAATATATGAATAATGTAAAGTGGTGATTGCAGGAAATCAATAAATAAATAGGCAGGACACAAAGATATTTAACGTGGAAACCAATATGGTGAAAACCAGGAGCCTTTTTGGGCTAAGCCAAGCCGAAATCCACTAAATTGTAGGTGTAATACATGTACATAGGGCAAGGCCATGGCCATGAAATATATGGAAGAAGAAAGAATATGTATGTAGAGGAGAGGTTTTATATTTGAGATTGGCCTCCCTTTTGCCTGTGGCTCGAAGCCTTTATATAAATTTATTTGTGCAGTTGTAACTTCCCGTAGTCCTCCCTACTTTCTTGCCATGACTTCTTCCTCCTTTGACTAATATTATTATTATTATAAATAATAATAATAATAATAATAATAATAATAATAATAATAATAATAATAATAATAATAATATGTCATGCATATTATATTATATATAAAAAATTAAAAGCTTGTTGGAGAAAAGGCTCTGCATTAATGAATTATTTAGAACAATAGTATTTATACACAATGAAGCACATATAAAATAGGGACGTTACAATAGAGCTAAACTATGGAGAAAACCAAGTCTGAGGGAATAATAGCTACTCCTCAATACGAGGAAGAGTGATGTGGGTGGTTTTCCAACCAAAGGAGATGTAAGATTTGAAATTTGGATGCTGACAAGCTTTGTTTCTACTGAGAGAAGTTGGCAATATGGGTAAATGGTGAGGGTAGTTGATGGAAATATTGGAAATAACCTAAAAATAGCGACACGGGGTCTGGGAGCCCATAGCTCGGGTTTAAAAAGATTACCAGACGGTTCAAGAAGAGTCCATGACCTGAGGTCTAAGAAGGGTGTATTCAATCATGACTTTCATATAGTTTTAAAGACTTTTATGAACATTAAAAGTTTGGGGGTATTCAATTCAAACTTTTAGAGAGTACTTAAAAGTCAGGCGGTATTCAATCAAGATTTTTAAAGAGTCTTTAAAAGTCGTGTGGTATTCGATTAAGACTTTTAGGGAGTCTTTAAAAGTCATGTGGTATTCAAAAATTTATGAACTTTTATAGACTTTTAAATTTTTAGACTTTTGTAGACTTTTTCTTCTCAAATATAAATAGTTGAAATCCAACCATCAATCTCAATATTTCAAAATTTTCTTTCTTACAACTTTGAATGTTTTCTCTCTCTATTTAAACTCTATTTTTTTCTCTATTTAAACTTTATAAACCTATCTAAATTTAATAAAATTATTTTTTTTCTTCATTATCCCATATTTTCCTCACACCTAAACTCTACCAATTTTTCTCTCTCTCCTAAACTTTACCATCTTCTTTTAAAAAGTTTTGAACGACTCTATGAAAGTCAATCAAAGTTTATGAAAATCTATCATTTTAAAAGTCTTTAAAACTCTACAAAATTCATGATTGAATACACCCCCCTAAGAGTTCGCAACCTGGTGTTAGTAATGTTATATTATATGGTTTATTTGTTTATGGCTATTATTATTGTTGACTAGTCTTAGCTATTAGATAGGAGCTATCAGTGGTAGCTTTCCTATAGGATTCTATCGTGTAATCTGTTTTCCTGACTAATGTGATTTGCGTTGTTTCACTTGGTATCAGTTAGCGTTAGGCTAGGAATCCTACCCTGTTTTCTCTCCACCACCCAAACATGTCGACAAACTCCTCTGAACGGACAGTAACCACCACCCCTCCACCACACAACCGGGAATTCCCTTAACGCAGCGCATCACTTTGTCTCAATTAAATTAAACAACCGTAATTTCTTGTTCTGGCGCACTCAGATTATCCCCTTTCTACGTGGCCAAGGCCTTTTAGGCTATATTGACGGCAGCCATGTCTGTCCACCGGAGTTCCTCACGGCGACGACGCAGGCAGCCGGCTCCAGCACCACCGTGGTCGCATCTTCCGAAATCAACCCGGAGCATGCGGCGTGGGTTCAACAGGACCAGCTAATTATGTCTCTTCTGATCTCGTCGTTATCCGACGAGGTCATGCCATTGGCGGTTGTCCGGGAAACGTCACGCGAGGTCTGGCTCTCCATCAATGACTCGCTGGCGTCCTCCACACGAGCTAGGTGTCTTAATCTGCTCGGCCAATTTCAGACGCTCCGGCAAGGCAACATGTCGGCCTCGGAGTATCTCGGGAAGGCAAAGATGCTCGTTGAAGCCTTGTCCCTCGCTGGCCATCGACTCACGCTAGACGAACAGGTGCTCTACGTATTGAGGGGCCTTCGCCCGGAATTCCGGGCTATGGCGAGTGCACTCACTGTGACCGGCACACCGGTAACGCTATCTCAGCTCGGCGACCTTCTGCAAGCCCAGGATTTCATCCAGGGAGATGAGTTCTCGATGGAGTACGGGAATGGCGCTCCAGTCGCCATGTACGCTGGCCGTGGTGGCCAGTCGAGTGGGGGCTCCGGACGAGGTGGCCGGCACAGCAGCAACAATCACGGCCGTGGGCGAGGAGGTCGGAACTCCGGCGGCCGTGGCCGTGGCAGCCCTCGCTGCCAGATCTGCAGGAGTCACGGCCACACCGCCGTCTTCTGCAACCGGCGCTACACCGAGCCTCCGCCGTCACCACACGCCCACGTGGCCGTTGCAGGTACTCCACCGGCAGCAGCAGAAACTGCCCAGCCGGAGGTCTGGTTTCCGGACACCGGAGCTACCACTCACGCGTCGCCTGATGAAGCTATGATTGGGCAATCCGAATAGTACACTGGTGGTGATGTGCTGAAAGTGGGCAATGGGGCAGGTTTGAATATCTCCCGCGTTGGTTGTACAGCAATCCCGTCAAATTCTAAATTATTAAATATGTCAGATGTCTTGTTTGTTCCAAATCTGTCATTATCCTTGTTGTCCGTTTACCGTTTCACTAACGAAAACAACGTTTTTTTTTGAATTTCATAAAGACGTGTTTTTTGTGAAGGATTGCACTACACGGGACATACTCCTTAAAGGCTCCGCGGTAAACGGGCTATATAAGTTGTTGGTGCCACGACCTCATGTTGTGTTTTTAACAGCCAAAGCGTCTCCCACAGTGTGGCATCAACGCCTGGGTCACCCTCATAAACAGGCTCTCCAACGGGTTCTTAAACATTGTCCGGTCACGTCAAATAAAGCTCCGATGTCAGAAATTTGTTCCGCTTGTCAACGAGGAAAATCCTCCCGTTTTCCCTTAGATAGAGTGTATACTTCAAGTTCTGAAGTTTTAGATTTGTTGTATACAGATATCTGGGGTCCCTCTCCAGTTATTTCACATTCGGGCTACCGTTATTTTGTTTTATTTGTAGACGACTGTACTCGTTTTTGCTGGTTTTACCCCTTACGGTTAAAATCAGATATCTATAAAGTATTTAATTTGTTTCGGGCGATGGTAGAACGGCGGTTTTCCCGTTCTATCAAAGCCATCCAGTCTGATTTAGGGGGTGAGTACCGTCGCCTACACACCATATTTGAGTCCTTAGGCATCACACACAGACAATCGTGTGCCTATACCCATGAGCAAAACGGCCGTGTTGAACGCCGGAATAGACACATTGTCGAAACCGGTTTGGCCTTATTAGCTGAAAGCTCCACACCGTTTAAATATTGGGATTATGCATTTGAAACCGCAACTCAACTAATTAATTGCCTACCTTCGTCAGCCGTGTCATATGAATCACCCTACTATCGTCTATATAAAACACCACCCCCTTACACTTTCTTCCGTGTCTTCGGGTGTAGATGTTATCCGTATTTAAGGCCATATAATCGGCATAAAATCGAATATCGGTCTACACCGTGTGTCTTCCTAGGTTACCCAGTCTCTTTTAGGGGATACCGCTGTATGGACTTAACGACGGGAAAGATATTTATCTGCCGTCATGTGCGCTTTGATGAAACCCTTTTCCCGTTTTCTATGCAGACTCCTGTGCAGGTGAATTCAACTCCGGCCCCTACTCCTTCCCCTTGGGGAGCTGGGCCCGTAGTGATAAATCCCAGCAACACCACGGTTCTAGATGAACCCCCGATTGCACAGCAGCCGGCCCCCGTGGCTATAGAAGCACCACCTCAGACTGGTGCAAGGCGGGGCCGCCCACCGGGCCGCAAAAACAGAACTCGCGCAGAAATTGAGGATCATACCATGCGCACTAGGGGTAAAACTCGAGGACATGACGAGCAGTTCTATGCTCTAACTACCTCTGTGGACCCTACTTGCTACTCCCAGGCTGTAGGTCACCCGCAATGGCGTGATGCTATGGATCAGGAGTTCAATGCCCTAATGCATAACAATACTTGGCAGCTTGTTCCGGGGTCTCCGAACATGAATATTATCGGCTGCAAATGGGTCTTCAGGACCAAACGCAAGGCTGATGGGACCATTGAACGCTACAAAGCCCGATTGGTGGCAAAAGGGTTCAATCAGGTCGCTGGGGAAGACTTTTTTGACACCTTCAGTCCCGTAGTCAAACCGACTACGGTTCGTATTTTGTTCTCTCTTGCAGTGTCACGCGGATGGGTGTTGCGACAGCTTGATGTCCACAACGCCTTCTTGAGTGGTCGTCTCTCCGAGACTGTTTACATGAAGCAACCCCCCGGCTACGAGGACCCGTCACACCCAGGTCACGTATGTCACTTGCAACGTTCCTTGTACGGTCTCAAACAAGCACCTCGGGCGTGGTTCAACCGCTTGCAAGAGTTTCTGACTTCTACCGGTTTCTTGGCATCCAAAACCGATGTCTCACTCTTTTACTATACAGCGGGCAACTCCCGGGCCTACTTGTTGGTCTACGTCGATGACATAATTATGATGGGCAACGATTCGGCGTTAATTGACACTCTCCTTCACCAGCTATCAACGGCCTTTAAGATTCGTGACCTCGGGGTGCCTCATTTTTTCTTAGGGATAGAAACAATACCTTCTGGTGCTGGGCTTGTCTTATCTCAACGGCGGTATATGAAAGATATACTCACGAGGTCGGGAATGACGGACTGCAAGGCTCTAGCTACTCCGGCAGCCGTAACACAACCGGCCACGCCCTCCTTAACGCCTTTTGAGAACCCAACTCAGTATCGGCGGATAGTTGGGGCTCTCCAGTATTTAACTATTACCAGGCCTGATCTCTCCTACTCGGTGAACAGGTTGTGTCAGTTCATGCACTCTCCCACAGACGACCACTGGGCTCTACTCAAGCGAGTGTTGCGGTACATTAAGGGCACTCAGGACTACGGCCTTCGCTTGTCAGTGTCAGTCTCCTCCGACCTTCATGCTTTCACTGACTCGGATTGGGCTGGGTGCCCTGTCGATCGCAAGTCTACTAGTGGCTACGCTGTGTTCTTAGGTGACAATCTTGTTTCATGGGTCTCCCGGAAGCAGCGTACTGTCGCCAGGTCTTCCACAGAAGCTGTTTCATGGGTCTCCCGCAAGCAGCGTACTGTCGCCAGGTCTTCCACAGAAGCTGAGTACAAGGGGCTGGCTGATGTTGCAGCCGAGGTTACTTGGGTTGTCTCGTTACTTCGCGAGCTAGGGTTACATTCCGGTGCACCAGCCACTCTATGGTGTGACAACCTAGGTGCCACTTACCTAGCCGCGAATCCAGTTTTCCACGCCCGCACAAAGCATGTTGAGATCGATTATCACTTTGTCCGGGACAAAGTCGCTACTGGGGAGTTCATTGTCAGTTTTGTCTCGACTAAAGACCAGCTGGCCGACATCTTCACTAAACCTCTACCAGCTCCGCGTTATCAGGCTCTGCGGGACAAGCTCAATGTTGTCGCCCTCCAACCTTGTGCTTGAGGGGGTGTATTAGTAATGTTATATTATATGGTTTATTTGTTTATGGCTATTATTATTGTTGACTAGTCTTAGCTATTAGATAGGAGCTATCAGTGGTAGCTTTCCTATAGGATTCTATCGTGTAATCTGTTTTCCTGACTAATGTGATTTGCGTTGTTTCACTCCTGGGACCTGAGAGTCCACGATCCGGGGCCCGAGAACCTATGACCCGAGCAGAGAGCAAGGGCCCTGGGCTGCTAGCTATTCTTACCCCAGAACCCGTCTTCGGACTCAAATTAGTGAGCCTTAACTTAGTTACGCGGCCCATTGCGTGGGCCTTGACTTGGTCTCGTGGCCTGTCACCATTTAAAAAAGTTTGTTGGGTTTTTCGTGGTATAAATGTCCATTGTCTTGACCTAGACAAATTAAACCATGTCTAATTTCACTGCACAATATCTTTTGTAATATTCCTACATTAGTCTATCAAATACTATTACAATTATTTGGTTTTACTATTTTACCTCTTATTATTTATGCGAACTTATTAATTCGTACAAAACCTGGGTCAATTTGTTCCATCGGTAGTGAAGGTCTCTACTGCGTGCAATAGCAACTTGGAGGCAAGATGTGAACAACAACTAGGATTAAAATATTATGTTATAGTTTTCATTTATAATTGTTTTCTTTATAGAGACCTATTTGTTTTCGATGGTGATTTTTAAGAAACAATCGGTGTCTAAAGTATTATTTGTAATTAATTATTATTATTATTAAATATAAAATAGACGATGTTTTTTCTAGAAAATCACATATGGTATATTCTCTTTATTTTAAAAATAAATTATTTAATTATTAAAATTTTGCCTAGAGGTCTTTATTGCGTGCAATAACAATTTGGAGGCAAGATGTGAACAACAACTAGGATTAAAATGTTATGTTATAGTTTTTATTTATAATTGTTTTCTTTATAGAGACTTATTTGCTTTCGATGGTGATTTTTAATAAAAAATCGTTGCCTAAAGTATTATTTGTAATTATTATTATTATTATGTTTAAATGTAAAATAGACGATGATTTTTCTAGAAAATCACATGTGGTATATTCTCTTTATTTTTTTAATAAATTATTTTATTATTAAAATTTTGCCTACAAATCCTGTGCAAATTAAATATATCTTGCACAACATACAAAATCAATGCAATATCACAATTCACAATACACCTTACCATCACAACATACATCTCACAAGTTTTCATTAAACTAAAGTCATAATTCACAACACCGCATTAGTACATGGTGAGAAAGTTTCATGGCATAGTCAATGTGTAACATGCATTATTTTAAAAGTTGATAGACCTCTTTAAAAAGTTTGACCAAACTCAACAAAAAGGGCAAATTATGATTTGAGCACGTGCCCACCTTGCAAGGTGGGCACGGTTCCATATCCATAATTTTTATACTGTAGATTCATAATTTCTATATATTGTAGATCCATAATTTCTATACTGTAGATCCATAATTTCTATATACTATAGATCCATAATTTCTATATACTGTAGATCCATAATTTCCATAAAATTTATACTTTAGATTCCAATTGTGGAACTCTGTTTTCACAAATCAGAGAACTATATGTTCATAATTTGATAACTATACAGTTTAGAAATTATGAATTTACAGTACAGAAATAATAAATCTACAGTACAGATATTATGAATCTGCAGTATAGAAATTATGAATCTACTGTATATATATTATGAATCTACTGTATTTAAATTATGAATCTACGATTTAGAAATTATGACTCTAAAGTATAAATTTCTAAAGTGTGGAAAGGGACTTCCACCTTAGGTTGTTTTGACCCGTGCTCTTTTTTCCACCTAGTCCTCAAAGTAACATCGAGGACGATGCTTATTTTAAAGTGTGGAAAGGACGCACTTTGTGCTTGGTTGTTTGT